TCTGGTTAGGAAATAATATCCTAACCAGCAGGAACCATCCTTCATTAGAGGAGACTGTCCTCCGTTTGGGATCAGGTGCAGGCTGCCACTCACATACAACACGTACCTGTAAAAGCGTTTAATAAGCTGTGGGGTAGTCTCCTGAACTGTTTCTTAAACACATAGGTTTAATATGTTTATAGGACTCTGAAGTTGTTATTGTAGTCTCTCCTTTAGGATTTGCTAATACTATTTATTTATTTTCATTTTTAACACGTTTTCTTACGCGAGAGAGTTGATATGTGTGTATTGTAGGCTTGGGCGGTATCCAAATTTCAACACCGACCAGCTTCCTTCACGGTGTACGGTGTTACGGGACTAATTAAAAAATGTAAGCCTCAATGGGAATTACCAAACTGTTGGTTTGGAACTTCACTGTTCGGAAACTGAATAACAAACACTATTACTAAGACAATAACAACTTAACACACATTATATTAACAATGTAAAAAGAATGAAGCAGCGTTTGAATGGATTTTTTACCTTTTTAGGCTTTAACATGGGACGTTGTGGACTGACTGCTTTGTCTCAGTGCTGAACCCACTCTGGCACAGACACACGGGTACTTGGGCTAGTCTGGGGAAAACTGGCAGCACCAGAAAAGTGTGTTGTCTCTTTTAAAAGCAGACTCCAAACAGAAGGCTGCTATTTCAGCTCCAGCTCGCTCCTGCATCGACGGGGCCTGCTTCTTTTGCGGTCGTCGTTTGTTTGCACAAATGACTTCATCAGTGTTTACCAACTCTCTTGTATCATTTGCTTCAAACCTGAAATACTGTCAGTCTGCAGAAGAGTGGTATGAGCCAGTCCTCGCTGTCTCGACTTCAGCGGGCGCAGAATGCTGCTGCTCGACTTTGAACTGGTACAGGGAGGAGCAAACACATCACTCCTGTTTTATCTTCACTGCACTGGCTGCCTGTCCATTTTAGGGTTCATTTAAAACTTCTTTTATTTGTTTTTAAGTCTTTAAACGGTCTTGCCCTGCCCTACCTCTCTGAGCTATTGCACATTCACTCCTCCTCTTGATGGCTCAGGTCATCATCTGATCAGTTGCTCCTGGTCGTTCCAAGGACACAGCGTAAGCTCAGAGGGGACAGGGCCTTCGCTGTTGCTTCGTCCAGACTATGGAGCTCTTTGCCGGCACATGTTAGAAAGGCCTCCTCACTGGAAACTTTTAAATCATCTTTAAAGACCCACATTTTTAGCTTGGCTTTCGACACCGCGTAAAGTTTTGGATTTCTATTTGACTTTAGTGTTTTACTTTAGTGTGCATTTAACTTTTTACTGTATTTTATGTTATTCTGTTTCATGCTTTTATGTTTTTATGTTCAGCACTTTGGTCAGTGAGGGCTGTTTTTAAAGTGCTTTATAAATAAAGTTGGCTTCTTTTTAGACACCAAGTCAGCTGGTGCACGACCTGCCGTTTTTCTCCTAGTCACTCTCAGTGCGTCTACTCCCCGCTGTCGCGTGATGACGTTCTAGAGCTTTATGGAACGTCTCTGAAAGTTGGACAAAACATTTCAAACTATTTAAATAAAACTGAGACTTCAACCATCTGTTTTATACATTAAATTACTTTCTATTTTATTTATTTTTATTTTGTTTGTCCTTGCCTCCTATGTGCACAGTTTTTTTTCATGACTGTATTGGAACTGACACGTTGTTGTTTTTTAACACTGGCTGTACACGGTAATACCGTAATACCGCCCCAACCTAGTGGGTTGTGCTTTCTGATGTTCATCCTTGGCTCCAAATGTTCCCATGAGGATCAATAAAACTGAACAGACACAAAAATGAGTAAAAGGTCTGTTGTGTTTGGGTGTAATAGTGAGCGAATGGTTTTCTGATATGAATTATTCACTCACCAACTTCTTATCATAAAGACTTTCCCAACAGACCAATCAGGAGTCTGCATTCAGACGAACGTCTGTGTGGAAGGTTTGGTCAGTGCTCTGGAATGTGAATCACGCAAGTCCTTAACTTGTAAGTCCTTAAGCTCGTTTGTATAATAGAGACGTGCCTAAGCTCATTAAGATGGGGTGAAATGCTTAGCAATACCGTTAGCGCCGTAGCTCCCTCTGTTAGGACTAAAGAGTGAGTTATCAGATTAGGAGTCATCATAGCACCTCTCTGTTAGCATGGTCAGGTTTCACCCTCAGCCTGAATTAGGGCTGTTGGCTTTAAACCAGTCTGGTCAAAGTCTCATCCTGCTTCTGCAACTTGAAGTTAAAACTTTCTGTAACGCCTCAGTTTGTCTCTCTCGTGTATCTACTGACCGTTAAATGCATCCAGATTTAATTCTCATGTAAACATTACAAACATCAGATCATTTAAAATGACGCCTGTCTCCTCTAAACTGCTGGACTTGACATTTTCAGCTCTATCATTACAATTCTGGTAAGTACTCAGCAGCATGTTGGAGCTATTTACCTGAATTAATCTCATTTTACATCTTTGTTCCTTATAATTATAGTAACTGTGAGTACTTTCCCTGGCAATAGGGGGCAGTATGTACTAGGGTTGTCACGGTGTGAAAATGTAACCTCACGGTTATTGTGACCAAAATTTTCACGGTTTTCGGTATTATCGCAGAATTTTTTTTTAAACGTGCTACATTTTCAGACAACTGAATAAACCCTGTATATCAGGAAAATATTGTCCTCAGTTTGTGTCTAAATTTAGCCTAAAATTTGTTATTTTGTAATTATGTTGTTTATTTGTTTACATTTTCCCCTTTAGTCTTTAAAATACCAACATTTGCCCATAACTTCTTATTTTTTGTCTGTTTGATGTCATCATTTAAAAAATATTAGATTAGATGATACTCAGTACTCAAGTAGCCTTCTAATCAGATACTTTTTTACCCTTACTTGAGTAATAAACCCTATATCAGGAAAATATTGTCCTCGGTTTGTGTCCTTCCAGTGAGCTTTACAGATGTGGGAAAATGTCATCAGGCAGTAATCGTTGTTAAATTCATAATTATTCTCGGAGAGAGACCAACTCTTATCTGCCCCTGGGAGCCCCGTAATGCATAGCGTCATTTCAACATGGCGGTGTCCGCGACACGGTTTATATGCAGGTAGCGGCGCTGCGGCTTCTTTATATAGCGACTCGTTGCATTCTCCCTCAATCCAAATCCTCGGATCACGCATTTTAGCTAAAACGCTAACGTTAGCTTGCCTTGCGTTGACTGTAGAGTTGTGGGTGATGGTCACGCAGATGTGTCATGAGATTTGAAGCGTTGCTGCCTTTCACAGACACTTTTTCTGCACGTGCTGCAAACAGGACAGCCGTCTTCTATCAGCTGTCCCTCGACATTCTTCAAATATCCAAAAAATGCCCGTACTTCCCACTTTGTCTTCTTTGAGGGATAATAAATGTCCTCCTGAGTGCTGCCGTCTCCTCCTTTGGCCATTATTTCAGCTTTAGCTTAAAGAAAGTTTTGGTTGTAAACAACAAAGTGCGCATGTGCCGCCGGCAACTTCAGCAGATGATACGGTGGCTGGTAAGGGTCACCGCGCCTACACCGCAGCCACGGTAATCCACCGAGATAATATATGTTTTAAAAAACAAGACGGTTATTATTATTGTCAACTTTTTTACCGGGGTTTACCGCTACACCGGTTACCGTGACAACCCTAGTATGTACCTACATCATAGCAAGCAAGTGTGGTATTTTTTATGTTTGAGTAAGACCTAAACAACGGATGGCAATTAGGGTAAAAAAAAAAAAGAAAAAGTGTAAAACAACATTTATGAATGGGGAACGTTTTGTAACCGTTTGTTACAAATCAGTAAATGAATTTAGTCCTCATGGGCTCCTGTAGACGTAAACACGGCATCTAATATGGCCTCGCCCAGAGACTTAGACCCACTTCCATATGTTACGAAGTCGCCAATAGTTTTCAACAACTGGGCATGGTTTAATACATTTTCAACAACATTTCCATAGATGTTTCCAAAGATTAATGACAAAAACTACACATTGTGTCTTTAAAAGACTTAATGCTCCTTGGAAGAGCCGTGTCCCTTTTAGTGGTGGAGTCTGAAACTCAACTATTGATTATATCATGTTACCTGTTACACAGTAGATCTCAGGTGATCCAGCAGCTCTGAGGATGTGTTCAGCTGCTACCGTGTAACATTTTATGCGTCCATCACCTAAACTGCTTCACCGCTGTAGAGTCTTAGGGAGCAGGCTCTGACTCCTGGGTCACCAGGTGAAAGGCTGGGGACATGCTGGACAGGTCTCCAATCCGTCACAGAGACACGCCAGTCACTCACACCTGGAAACCATTTAGTCTCCAGTTAACCTGAACATACATGTTTTTGTGCTGTGGGAAAACCCAAACATGCTTGAGGAGAACATGCTAACTGGGATTTGAACCTGCGACCTTCTCGCTGTGAGGCACCAGTGCTCCTCCATGCAGCAGAAACATATAATACCGTCCATAACAGAAAACTACTGATAATGGAAGATGGGCAGGATTTATCCTGGGTGCTGACGCTACTCGGTATTTCCAGGTGCGTATTTATCAAACGTAAAGACGATGTCTGGACACTGTGCTGCGCAGGTAGTTTCTGCTTTTACCGTGTTTAAAATAACCATGAATGGTTTTATTTGAGAAGCTGTACAGCGAGTGACTCACAAAAGTTCCTTAGTATAAACCCTGTGCATGCTGTTTCAATGGCTTTTCAGCCCGTCTACCTTTGAAAAATAATAGATTTTTCCCTGTATTTCAAAGTGAAAATTGATCCGTATTTTAAAACATAATAAATCCAATTTTTCTAAAGGAGAGTCCGATAATAAACACAGCTGTTCCTGTATCACTCTCGTGTGTCTCACTCCATCCATCCAGTGAGATGGTGATGATGCCTTTTTCTGCCTTCATAGTCTGCTCCACACACATCATCGGTAATGTTAGTTGTCTGTCTGTCTCCTTCTGCTCATCATCCCTCAGGTCTGGCTCAGTGTGCAGAGCTGTGCTGGCAGCTCCGAGGCCAGGCTGGCAGGAGGCAGGTCCCAGGGGCCAAGGTGGCCTTGCAGCACAACATTGGCCTGGGTGGAGCTGTGGTTGTTACGCTTTACAAGATGGGTTTTCCAAAGGAGTCGAGGTAAATGGGAATGTACTGCTTCATGTGCTAGGGATGTACCGATCAGGTTTTTTGCTGCCGATCACCGATACCGATATCAAAGAATGCTGATCACCGATACCGATCACGTGGATTGGCCAGAAATTTTCTACAATATTATAATGAGTGCTACAAACTACATAATCTGGGAATAAAGGAAATGTAACCTAATCTAAAATGGTCTGTATTAGGGTTGTCACGGTGTGAAGATTTAACCTCACAGTTATTGTGACCAAAATTACCACGGTTTTCGGTATTATCGCGGTATTTTTTTTTAAACGTGCTACATTTTCACACAATTAAATAAACCCTGTATGTCAGGAAATATTGTCCTCAGTTTGTGTCTAAATTTTGCCTAAAATGTGTTATTTTGTAATTTTTTTGTTTATTTGTTTACATTTTCCCTTCAGTCTTTAAAATACCAATATTTGCCCATAACTTCTTATTTTTTGTGTTTGATGTCATCATTTTAAAAATATTAGATCACATGATACTCAGTACTCAAGTAGCCTTCTAATCAGATACTTTTTTACCCTTACTTGAGTAATAAACCCTATATCAGGAAAATATTGTCCTCGGTTTGTGTCCTTCCAGTGAGCTTTGCAGATTTGGGAAAATGTCATAAATTCATAATTATTCTCGGAGAGAGACCAACTCTTATCTGCCCCTGGGAGCTCCGTAATGCATAGCGTCATTTCAACATGGCGGTGTCCGCGACACGGTTTATATGCAGGTAGCGGCGCTGCGGCTGCTTTATATAGCGACTCGTTGCATTCTCCCTCAACCCAAATCCTCGGATCACGCATTTTAGCTAAAACGCTAACGTTAGCTTGCCTTGCGTTGACTGTAGAGTTGTGGGTGATGGTCACGCAGATGTGTCATGAGATTTGAAGCGTTGCTGCCTTTCACAGACACTTTTTCTGCACGTGCTGCAAACAGGATAGCCGTCTTCTATCAACTGTCCCTCGGCATTCTTCAAATGTCCAAAAGATGCCCGTACTTCCCCCTTTGTCTTCTTTGAGGGATAATAAATGTCCTGAGTGCGGCCGTCTCCTCCTTTGGCCATTATTTTAGCTTTGGCTTCAAGAAAGTTTTGGTTGTAAACAACGAAGCGCGCAACTTCAGCAGATGATACGGTGGCTGGTAAGGGTCACCGCGCCTACACCGCAGCCACGGTAAACCCACCGAGATAATATAGTTTTTTAAAAAACAAGACAGTTATTATTATTGTCAACTTTTTTTTACCGGGGTTTACCGCTACACCGGTTACCGTGACAACCCTATGGCTGATCGGTCTGCTTTGATCGATTTTGAAAACTCCGATCAAAACCGATAGGGGTGCTATCGGCCGATTACGATCAAATGCCGATCCATCGGTGCATCCCTATCATGTGCACACACTCCTGCAGCATTATTATGCAGCAGTTTGTTGTTCCTATTTACGCATGCCCTAAAGGCCAAGTCCTCTGAATAAACCATTTTACTTGTTATTTTCTTAAATGTGATCAGTCACTCTGAGTTTAGCATACCGGGACTCGCCCATCTTGTCTAGTGACGGGTAAAGGCTGTTGTTGGTTTAGCGTCCAGGAAACTGCAGAGAACATCTCAGCTAGTAGAAGCTAACCATTAAACATCAATGCTGCAGAGCAAAGGGAGTCAGTGGTAGAGTTGCTTTGCTGTTAGCCAATCAGAGGCGAGATGAATATCAGGAAATAAGATTCCAAATCTTGTCATCTGAAGGTCTCGTCTGATTAATTTCTAGCTCCTGAACACAGGCATGAGAGCTTGAGAGTACCTTCTAGGGTCCTATAAACCCCCAAGGTGCTTTACAACACAAACTGTCATTCACACACACATTCTCACACTGGTGATGAGCTTCAATGTAGCTACAGCTGCCATGAGACACACTGACATAAGGCGGTCCCTCCAACCACCACCAGCAGGCAAGGTGAGTTAAGTGTCTTTCCCAAGGACATAAGGACTGTTACGACCCCAACCAGGTCTAGCAAACCCTGGGAGTTCTAACACAGGAAGAAAGGAACAAATCACCTTCAGTAAAACTGTTTATTAGATAAAACTCAATAAGACTAAACCTGTAATGAAATAAGATTTACCAGTTAATTTCAAACCACTGAAACTGAAGTTTAACCAAACAAAACCAACCAGGCTATCACCAGGACGGTGGAACCTCAAGACCAATGGGTAAATGAAATAACTGGAAACTTAATCCATCTCTTAAGTTAAACAAACCAAAACTTCAACTAGGGATGTACAATTTCTTTAACCGGCTATTGACGCCCCTTAACAGTAAATTGCCGGTTAACCGGAAACCAACACCCCCCCCCCCCCCCCCCCCACCTGACACACACAAACATTTGCCCCAGTCTATAAATGTTAACGCCTTTTCCGTCTACCTTTTTTTAAATGTAATTCCGACGCACATGCTAAAGTCCCACACACATTACAATTATGAAGAAAAAGTAAAGAGAGAGTGAGATGACAGCTGAAATGTTCGTCAGACTCAGCGGCCCATCTGGCACACAGCACTGCTTGCCATTGCGTGCTTATAAGTGCATTCTGGAGGCCACGGAAACACTTCCGTTAGCTTACATTGAACTAGAGCTGGGCAAGAAATCGAAAATGTATCGTTATAAAAAATTCTGACTCTTTTCGAGAATTTTTCCCATGCCAAAAAATTTGATAATAAAAAAATGTAAAGATCTGTCTAGGTTGACCACATTCATTTCTCTTTAAGAAGTGTACCACCTTGAGTCACGTAAAAGTGTGACTCAACGTAACACGTGTGACAGCCCCATCTAGTGGACAACTTTTGTTTATGTGCATACCTGTAGTTGTCGTCCACGTATCGTTATCAAGGTGAAATCCTCAATATATTGTGATATCCATTTTAGGCCATATCATCCAGCCCTACATTGAACTAAATAATTACGTGGACATTTCTTTATTTTCAAAGGCAAATTAGGAGTCAAACGCAAGTAGGAGCGTCATGGCCAACTGACCTGCTGCTGGTCTCTGTTCAGTTTGCTGTACCATGTTCTTAGCCTAGTGAACTAGACCAAATTCTTGCTTTGCAAAGTTTGGTCTAGGAACGCTCCACTGGAACCTCTGCAGCCCCTAACAGCATTCTGGCTGGCCAATCACAGCTCTCTAGAGGGGTTTCAAACACATAAAGAGCTGTGATTGGTCCATAATGGTGGGCCAGTCACAGTGCTCTATCTGCTTAGTGAACAAATCACAGAGCTTTATCCGCTTTGTGGGCCAATCAGGGCGCTCTATATGTCTGGTGGGTGGGATGATGCAACAGAGTGAAACAAGATGGCGACAGCTCGTTTGAAACGGCTTTTACATCAATTTTGGATTATTAGAACTTGGGCTTCATTAGAATCAGGAGCAGATAGATGTATTTCAGTGCTTTTTTTAGAAAACATGATGTGTTTTCTCCTCCTTCAACTTTGGACCGCCTCATTTACCGATGGCTGTTGCGAGGAGTATGTCACATTCATTGTCCAGTAGTATTCGGAGATCATTTGAAAGACAACGGTAGAACCCGCCCGACAACCGAGAGTCGTCAATGGAGCGTTGCCAAACTAAATAATACATTTATTTAGTCTGGCTTGCCAGGCTACCATGTTCTGCCTGGTTCAGCACTTTGATGTGAGGCTTATTGTGTTCCAGGAATGAAATAACTAAGAAAAAACTGCTCTCACGCTGTTTGCTAAGCACTTCACATTTGAGCACCATTGTTTGGTCATGTGATGAGCTCATTTCTTCTGTGGTTGCCCAATATTTTGATAGCGGTGCTCCTGCGCCCTCTAGTGGTACTAAATATATTACACCCAGCACAGCAGAAGGACTTGAAGCAGTAAACGTTACAACATTAACGGCAGTTAACCGGTTAACTATGTACTAGGGGTTGCATGACTTAATTTTTTTAAAAGTGGACAGTCAAGTAATGAAAATCGAGTCGACTTCGACTAGTCGTTGATGACGTCATACACCTGAAGCGGGGGGGGGGGGGTAGGTTCGCTGGAGTTTTTGACAATTAAAATTTCGCCCACATTTTCTAAGTTAACACATCTCTTTTAACAACGGTAGTTTCTGCATCCTACTTCAGTCCTCTCCCCCCTCCCCCTGCGCAGCAGCAGCAAACTGATGCGCCTGCAGCCTCTCAGAGTTCCTGCTGCTCCAACATTACAATAATTATTTCATTTTCTGTTCCTCACTTCTGATTACCTTCAGTGGTGTCTGTTTGTTGCAACCACCAGGTACAAAAACTAACTTGTTTTTATTTGACTATTTTTCTGTCCTGCCTGTTTATTATCTTCCTGCATCTCCTCTCAATCCTAAAGAGAAACTGCTACCTGGGTTCATATATATTCACCTTATGAGTTACCTTTGAACTGCAGTTCTAAAAGATCTACCGACCGCTAAAACAGCGGAGTGCCGCTGCTCGCCGGCCGACTACAACGGGACCGTTTTTGCTGCGGAGTTCGTGCCGGAGCGGAGCGGAGATAGTGGAATCTTGGGGGTGCGTCACCAGAGAACAAAACCGATGAAGAGCCTCGCTCCGCAGCAGCGGAGCGCATCAGGCACAAATAACAGACAGAAAACATGAAAGGAAATGAGCCGACATGAACGATCGCGTGTTTAATTTGTTTTTGAGGTGGTGACACCTGATTTGGCGGTGACGCAGATGGAGCGCGTCAACGATCAGAGCTTTGCATGCGCAAACTGGTTAAGATTAGGATGGGGGTGAGGGGAAGGTTTGGTTAAATGTCCGTTTTACTGCCGGTGTCAGTACCGACACTCTGGCACAGCGCGTCGCCTCCGCCTCCCGACGCAGGGGCTCATCACCTGCTGGAGGACTGCATCTTGTCGGTCATTATCACGTGACAGCGACTAGTCGATGACAGGCGTAAAAAGTCACTACAGAGCCGTGAAGTCGACTAGTCGACTAGTTC